AAGTACAGATACAAAAAAGTAGGAAACAGTATAAATAATATAACTAACTGTGGTGACAAGAGAAACAGAGAGAGATGGGAGGAAACATACATTCGCTAGATTTGTAATCTTTTATAGAACCAACCAAGGTATGTTGGTCAAAGTTGGTAAGACGAGAAATAGCGGTAGAGCAGAAACCACTGAAAGAAAATGGACCAGGAGCACCTGGGCGGCTGTCGGTTAAGCATCCAACCTTGATCTCGGCTCAGGTCATGATCGTGCAGTTTGTGATTTAACCCCTGGATCAGGCTCAGCGCTGAAAGTACAGAGCCTGCTTGGGATTCTCTTTCTCTCCCTCCTTCTCTCTCTCTCTCAAAATAAATAAGCTTTAAAAAAAGGAAAGAAAGTGGAACAGGAGGCGGCACTGGGAAGTAGAGCTGGGGAGGGAAGAACAATGATTCTCCCCTCTTCCATTTTATATTCTCCTGTAGTAGGCAAATTTTTAAAAATTATGAGCGTTTATCATTTCAATGGTTTAAAAAGTGTCATGGGAAACATCTTCCCCGCTAATATATACCCAACCCACAAGATCGACACTGAATTGCCAGCATTTCCTCTTCCGAAACACAGGAAGGAGTCGAGGTGGCTAGCCTAGATAACTTCAGGAGGCCCGTCAGGAAGTGAGAGGTCTATCCAAGGGAATATGCAAACTGGAGAAATGTCATTTGGTTAAGATAAAGACACGGATGGGGGCGTCTGGGTGGCTTAGTCAGTTAAGCGTCCGACTTTCGCTTAGGTCATGATCTTGCGGTTCGTGGGTTCGGGCCCCGCGTCGGGCTCTGTGCTGACTGCCAGCTCAGAGCCTGTAGCCTGTTTCAGTCTGTGACTCCCTCTCTCTCTGACCCTCCCCTGCTCACGCTGTCTCTCTCTCTCTCTCCTAGAAATAAATAAAACATTAAAAAAAAAAAAAGATAAAGACACGGATGTCACATCTGTTCCTCAACTACGGAACCCAGAAGCAAACAAGACGGAAACAGGATCTCCTCCAGGAGAAGCAGCAGCAGTTAAAGCTGAATGGGAGGACCTGGAGGTGGCCAGAGAGGGGCGGGGGTGGGGGGATGAGCCGGACAGGGGAAGGGGATTAAGGGGTGCAATCTTCTAGTTACAAACCAGTCACAGGGGTGTAAGGTACAGCAAAGGGAATACAGACGATAACACTGTAGTAACACGATGACTACACTTACCAGGATGGCACGGAGTCATGTATACAGCAATGTACCGAATCACTGTGGTGGACACCTGGAACTAATATTGTATGGCAACTATAGTCCCATTTTTTTTAGTGTTTATTTTTTTGATAGACCGAGCACAAAAGGGAGAGGGGCAGAGAGACAGGGAGACACAGAATCCAAAGCAGGCTCCAGGCTCTGAGCTGTCAGTACGCAGCCTGATGTGGGCCTCAAACCTACAAACCATGAGATCATGACCTGAGCTGGAGTTGGATGCTTAACCAACTAAGCCGCCCAGGCGTCCCAACTTCCTTTTTTTTTTTTTAATTAAAATAAAAATAAGAAGGAGAAGCTGAATGAAGATCTCTGCAGTGGACCAATGGAGCCAGGGCAAGAAAAAAGAAACAAGAGATGGTCAACAGGGGGCAAACGCACTCCCCAGTCCCTAAGAGTGAGCTGCCCCCAGGGGAAAATGGGTGGCACCGTTCTGAGACCATGGGAGAGGTGCGGGGGCCTGAGGGCCGGGGCCCTCTAAGTCACAGAAGCAGGAAAGCAATGAATGTGTCAACAAAGAACCAAGGCACAGAGAACAAAAAACACCGAGTCCCAGTTTGTTCTGACACAGTCTGGTGGTTTCTGATCACCCTGAATCACGGCGAGAAGCAGATTCTGAGAAATTCTAGAGCAGGTACAGGCGGCAGGGGCCAGTTTAAGAGGCAGTGCCCACCGAAACGGTCAAGAATCTTTTTGGCATTTGGTGCAATGTCGTTTCCGGGTTTGTTGTAGTAAAAGGCATCCACGGGTTTGCTTGTGACATTGGTTTACCCAATCTGATTGTTATTATATGCTCCTTACCTACAAATTCTCCAGCTGCAGGCATTTTCAGCACGCTCATTCGTAGGCTGAGAAGACACTACTTGCTATCCGGGGAGAGAACCAAGGGTCTCTGGGGCGCATGCCCAGGTCTTCCTCGCGCTCTACCCTGGGGAAGGCGTAAATACACCTGGGGTCTAAGCACCAGAACGGACTTTAGCGTTTTTCCCAACAAAATGCTGCATTTAAGGTGAGACAACAGAGGCAGATGCTGGGCTCTGGATGGGTATTTAGTGAAGGGAAGGGTAAACAAAGTCATCTCCAAGGGACCAGCAGAGCCTGAACCAGAACCCTCATCTGCCACCTGCCTGGGGCGTCAGCCCTCTCGCCTCCCCATGGCTCCTGGTGTCCCCCCGGCATTTTTCCATAGCAGCAGAGAAAACGCTTGCCCCATGTTTATAAATAAATGTGCAAGCAGTCTGACAAAGCCATGGGTCCTGGAATACAGTCAGCTTAATCAGGATTCTTGGTCTCCAAAGGGCACCCCCACTTTCCCTAATGTAATAAGCTCACTCAGTTACTTGGAGAGAGTGCTAACTTCTGACGACAATTACGTGGAATCTGAAAACCGTAACTCTGATGCACGTTTCAGCATTTTGTACAGAAGCACCAATTCCCAGGAGCTGCTAGGTTAGCAAGGAAGGCTGCAATGGAGTCTCGCAGACAGAAAAGACTAGAAAGAAGAGACGAGCCAAAGGGTTTTTCCCAACAGGTGAAAAACACCAAATTGCAAATAATCCGTAGACAAGACCGACCCAGATCTCTTAAAGGCAAAGTTGCTCTGAGGACAAAGTTGCTTTGAGGACAAAGTGGCTTTGGAAAACCATTTTCTTTAATTACAGAACTTCTTGATAAAGAGAGAATGGTAACAGCACCTGCCTTTCAGGAATATTTTGAGCATCAGTGTTTATTTACGGGGACTAAATACCTATTAGGGAGATTTTAAATGTTTAAGCATTCTCTGTGCTAACCTGCATTTATTTATTCATATTTCACGCCGCACAACCAAATCTCTCCTAAATAAAGCAAATTTATGCCCGGCCCAGTTTCCCAGAACCTAAGCCCTAGTTCTGTCCAGTTATCAATCATAAAGTCCTTGAATATTCTGGACACGGACTCTATCAGAGGAAAGAAAAGAAGCACGTGCCACCTCAGCAACACAAGCAGGTGGAGAAACTGATGTCCGTTTCTATCAGTGCCGTTAACGGTGCCGGGAGAAGCCCGGCTGTGGTGACAGCGCTCTGGCTCCCGGGGTCTCAGAGTCCCCTCGCTAAAGCTGAGGGGCGCGAGGCACACAGCTGCAGCGGTCCTTCCTCTCGACCATAAGGGCTCCCACAATCCTAACTGTACTTTTAACTAGGAAGGCCTGAATTTTTGTGTGTATACTTATGCCATTTTTTACCATATTTTAGCCCCTTATTCTTTTTAAAGTATTAAGTGTTAAAAAAAGAAAAAAAGAATGGGGCGCCTAGGTGGCTGAGTAGGTCAAACATCCGACTCTCAGTTTTGACTCAGGTCATGATCTCACAGTTCGTGGGACCGAGCTCCGGGTCACGCTCTGCGCTGACAGCATGGAGCCTACTTGAGATTTTCCCTCTCTCCCTCTCTCTGTCATACCCCAGCTTGCACTCCCAGTCTCTCTCAAAAGGAAATAAACAAACTAAACAAACAAACAAAAACACAAAAAAACCTCTGTACTAACCATTTTAGACCTGTGCACTTTATTGTATATTAATTATGTCCCAATTTTTTAAATCTCTGAAAAACCGCTTAAAAAGCATGGAGGGGTCAAGGTGCCTGGGTGGCTCAGTCGGTTCAGCATCTGGCTCTTAATTTCAGCTCAGGTCATGATTCCAATGTTGTGGGACTGAGCCTGGCTTTGGCTTCACACTGAGCATGGAGTCTACTTAAGATTCACTCATATTCTCTCTCTCTCTCCTTCTTTCTCTGCCCCTCCCCCTTGCTCATGCATGTTCTCTCTTAAAAAAAAAAAGAAAGCATGGAGGGCAATCCAAAATATTAACAGTGACTGCTTCTGGGTCATGGGATTATGACTCACGTTTTCTTCTGTTAAGTTCACACTTTTCTAATCTTTATCATTTTCTGTAATGAACTCCCCCTGCCCCGAGTTTCTATACCTATAGTTTGCTGTTCCACTAAGACACAACATGTGACAATATATACCTTCTGAAGGAAGGGTTGTAGGTCATGAGGGGAAGTAAGTCAGGGTCTCTTTCTACAGCGGGCATGCGGTTCAGTGTCTCCTGAGGATCTGCACGGAGGTCAGACGCTCAGGCAGGGGCATGACGGTGGACGGGGGCAGAGAGGATGGAGGGATGAATGGAAATACAAGGGTTCAGATCTGATCCTGGTCCTCACTGAACTGGTGCGCAGGTCACAGAGCCGGCTGCCGCACCCCGAAATGGGAGGAACATGTATCCTGTCTGCCTCAACGGGGCTGTGGGAGTGTTACATGCAGGAACTGTGGCCTACGTGGCGCAGAAGGAATGAAGGTGGCAATAACTTCTGCTATGAGGTGGAGAGTTAGAAAATAGTCTTTCTCAAAAGTCAGCCTTGTGACTTCCAGTCCTGTGAGAAGCAGCAAGAGAAGCCATTGCTAGAACGACTCAGCCCTTTTATTTTTTTTATTTTTTTTTTTTTTATATTTTTTTTTTTTATTTTTTTTATTTCTAGGATAGAGAGAGACAGCGTGAACAGGAGAGGGTCAGAGAGAGAGGGAGACACAGACTCTGAAACAGGCTCCAGGCTCTGAGCTGGCAGTCAGCACAGAGCCCGACGCGGGGCTCAAACCCACGAACCGCGAGATCGTGACCTAAGCGAAAGTCGGACGCTTAACCGACTAAGCCACCCAGGCGCCCCTGACTCAGCCCTTTTAAATCGAGCGCCGAGAACTCTTACCTATTGGTGTGTTGATAGTGATTCTGCAGAGTGTAGGGTATGCACTGCGTGTTTAATCGCTTTCTCTCCACCTCCTTCCAGCTATCTTCTGTCCACTTTCTCTTGATCTGCTTTTCCTCTTGTTTTTTCCCCACGTAGTCAGCGTAGGTTTGGATCCGATAGCTTTCTGCATATTTGCTGGTATTGACAGCTACAAGGAAAAGAAAAAAAATCTGTCTAAAAAAGTCTGGCCTCGCCCTCGGAGATGTCACTTTTGAAAGGTGGCCTGAGGAAGTCAAAGAAACCAGAGATTCGGGTCTGAGTTCTGACCCCAGCTCTGCCATCTAGAAGCCAGGTGGCCTTGGGAATGTCCCACTGGCTCCCTAACTCTGTTTTCCCATCGGGAGAAAAGAAAGCCATCGCACCCCAGTCTTCCTGACGGCGTGCAAGTGCTCTGTAAACTATAAAGGACCATAATGAGGTGAGTAAAGCATATTTGCAGGCAACATTACTGGCTTGAAAATGACTCATTTTCAGAGTAAGAAAATGGGAGGAAAACACACTAAGGGAAAACTGTAAACCCTTCCTTCTTAAAAATAAAAATGAAGATGAAAGCAATATCAATAGCAGAGTCGACCACAGTGTCCTATAGGGAAGGTCTACCCTTTGCCTGTGCCCGCTGCTTTCCATTCGTGACGTCTAACCGCAAAACACATTCCCAAGGGAGGCACAGACGTTGGGCGGCTGCTGCAGGCCACACAGTGGGTTGGTGGCAGTGCTGGGAACCAACACCGGGCTGCCTGGACCCGAAGGCCAGGGCCTTTCTTGTCACTCTGCACATCACTTTGAGCTCCACAAATTCAAGATATCCCCACAAGCATGCCTCTCCACCTTCCACTTCTAAAGACTGCTAATTCTCCGTAATGTGCCTCTGGCCGGCAGGAGCACTTGAAAGCTGCAGCTTATACTACCCTCCTTGGTGTTGACATTTCGCTAAGGCCACATCAGTTTCCCTAGAGTCTGCTGCCTACTCTTCAGAGGCCAGTGGACAGAGGCGCCGACAGCGTGGGACTGAGGACCCAGGAAGACCTATTGGAGGATGGGTGGCCATTTTGCTGGTTCTGGCTTCTGCAGCTTGAGCAGAGACTGTCCTTGCACATGGTCACCGCCAACAGTGACCACCCACGCTGGCGGTGAGACAGCGAGAGCCGGGCCATCCCGGCAGGGGCCGGTAGCGGCGGCCTTGCTACCTGGGCAGCTGTAAAAGCACCATAATGTCTAGAAGAGGGTCTGTGTCCCCACTCTTGGCAAAGTCCTGAGTTTTCTTCACTAAATACCACGTGAATGAATGCACGGCAGTGACCAGCACGCACGGCCCGTAAGCGCATCAGAACCAGGTAAGGGACTCCAGTACATCGGGCACCTTAAATCACAGGGAAAGACAACTGTATGAGAGGTAGATGCTCCACGTTATCTGACACCTAACACTTTTCATCTTCGCCCTCAGTGGGCCAGATTTGCGTAAAACTTCTAAGCACAACAGTGTTTTACAGAATGTCGTGCCCTAAATGTTTAGCCATCTAAGGAGCAAAACATAACAACAACAACGAAACAAGAAAGAAAAAAACAAAACTCCACTCTTTAAAAAAAAACAAAAAACCACAGATTTTTACTAAGAAGTTTGCTGTAACTTCAAATATCCAATCTGGAGCTAAAGAGGAAAAAGGGGGGGGAGGCGCTCCCCGAGTATTACAGAACTTCCCTATTACATCAAGTCTCCCAAAGAAGGAGAGCGAGTTGCTGAGATGTGAGCTCAGGGCAGCGTGCCCTGACTCACTCGCGAGGAGATAAACAGAAAAAGCATCCAGTTCTGGAGACACAGTACGGGCCAAAGTCACTCCGAGCACAGAACCACAGAAAGAGGATCCTTTCTTGAAAATCTTATTTCTTGGGACAGCTATCTCTGCTGCTTTCAGTGGACCGCGTTTTGGACTTCTTCTGCTCATTTAACCACCCAACCATTTATACATCCCATGAACATTAACCGCCCAGGATTCCCATCCGGCCACCGATTGCTGTCCCAGGGACCGTTTCAGATATCTGGTAGAACGAGACACGATTTCGACTCTCTTAAGCTTTACCCTGTCACATGCAAATATCATGGGGAGGGGATTTCACTGGAAGCGGAAGACCACCTTACTAACACAGGTTGAGTCTCCAGCGTGATCCATAATGAGAACCCACAGATTCTATCATCATTATTCAGTCCCAACTGTTGGCAAACGAGCGGCTCCTGGATTTCCTTCTCTTAAGTTCCATTCCTTCTTCCAGCAGGTTTATTTTGCAAGCATGCCCCAAAGGGATGACATCTGCAATAATCCCTCTCTCGAGTTTCATTTGGACTCCCAAGTAAAAGAGGAGGCTGGAGTCAATATTCCCCATGAAAGCAAAGGCGATGATAAGGTCATAAAGGAGCTAAGATGATCTATTTAACAGTATCCGGCCATTTCCAATAACTCAGCCTGCAGCCCCGTGGACAAATGTTACAAACAACTCCCCGATCACGGTGGGGAATTTATCCGAGCACATGTGGAATTAGGATCACTTAAAAGGGGAAACAAATAACAAGCCACTTTTCACCGCTGGCCTTCACATGGCAGTCATTTACCAGCATTCCTTCACGTCCCAGCCGCTCGGAGCTCTGGGCCTTTCATCTGGAAGCCAAGCGCTGGCTCGCGGCCACCCCTCCCCGAATGGATGAATCAGCAAAATGAATTGGCTGTCAGCTGTGTCCTCCAGTGGTTCCAGCCCGCCTGTCAGAAGCAGCATGCAGCGCGCTGCTCGGTAATACTAACCTTTTCCAAATTTGTCAGGGAAATTATTCAAGGCCACCTTTTGGTCGTGCCACTTGATTAGAGCCTCTGGGGAAGCGTGCATGCCCACGGCTGTCCCCGCCTCCTTGTAGGTGAGCCAGGGCAGCCCCCCACCCATGGGCTTCCCCCCACCCCACCTCACCCACCACAGCTTCCCGGGGCCAGATCCGCTCATCTCCTGACACTGCACGCATTACAGCATTTCACCTTCACCAGCACCCCGCAGGGAAGGGATGCTCTGATCACCACCCAGGGGCCTAGGCCGACATCAGGGAAGCCAGGCTGCTGGTCTAAGGTCTTGTAGGTAAGCGACAAAGCTGGTTTGGAACCAAAACGTGATTTTTTTAATGTGATACTGCCATGTGTCCACCATACATTTGTTATGTGTTTATGTGACTACTCAGACTGACAGTTGTCTTCTAAAATGTTTCCTTTACTAGGGGTTTTAAAGAATGTTTAAATTTTTTCCTAAAAATTAAGAACTTTCCATTACTGTCAGGCAAAGCCTCTCCAACTAAGTTGATGGATACGTTATGATTATGGACAAGATGACTTAAGATATAGATCCCTTCCTAAATTGATCTGTAGATTTAATGTAACTCCAATAAAAAGACATCCTACACTTTAATAAAACACTGAAAACATTAAAAAATGAAGTTAAAAAAATCTCAACAGAAAATAAAATGGGGTTAGCCAGGGACTGGGGGAGGAGGTCAAGTACAAAGGGGATAAGGGAATTTTGGGGGTGATGGAACAGACCTATATCTGGATTGTAGTAGTGGTTACATGACTGTCCGCATCTGCTAAAACACAGAGCTGCACAACAAAGAGGATATTTTTACTCTACAAAAATTATATCCCAATTATTCTGTGGAATTGGAAAGATTGATTCCAAAAGTTAAATAGAAGAGCAAATGGGCCAACAATGGCCCAGACATTTCTGAAGAAGAATAAGGAAGGGGGGTTTGCCTTAGCTATAAAAGCTTCCTGTAAAGCCAAAGTAATTAAGATGGTGTATTAATGGTACAGAGATAAACAAACTGACCAATGGTACAAAAGAGCCTAGAACAAGGTTTATGCATCTGTGAAACTTTGATTTTTGACAGAGACAGCATGACAGAGAATGTGGGAAAGGAAAAGCTGGAAAAATTGTTTATCCATAGGAAAAAAAATGAAATTGGATTCTTAGTCACACCACGCTGAAAAATCAACTCCAGATGGATGAAAAACTGAAATGTCAAAAGCAAACTTTGAAAACTTGAAAAGAAAATATAAGTGCATATCTTTCTGAGCTTGAAGTAGGAAAGAATCTATGAAGATACAAATAACGCTAAGCATTAAAATAGGTCAATGACTAGAACTACATTAAATAAAAATCTGTTCATCAGTAGACACTTTAGAGAGCAAAGACAATCCACAAACTGGGAGAAGATGTTGGTAACATGTGGAACTGGTGAAGGTGTAGCACGAGAATATATAAAAATACCTACAAATCCGGAAGAAAACACCCAACACAAAAATGGGCAAAAGACATGAAAAGTACACACAGTCATTTCACAAAAAAGGAAGCACAGAAGGCCCACAGTCGTATAAAGAGATGCTCACGCCTAGGCAAAGGCCAATTATGAGCACAATAAGGCACATTTTGTGCCTATTTTGTTGGCAAAAATTGAAAAGACTGCTCAGAGCAATGACAAGGAAGATGTGGAGCAATGGGATCTCTACTGGTACCAGCGCTATGGAAAACAATTTCGCGTTGTCATTTGAAGTGGACCATGCACGCACCCTACAATCAACAATTCCACTCCTAAATATAAATTACTACATGAGTATTATGAGGTAAAAACAAAAATAAATAAATAAATATAATAAATATAATATAATAATAAATAAATATAAATAAAATAAAAAAATAAAGAAAAAAACGTCTGAGGCTCAGACCAAGGGACTAGCCCAAGGACCCCCGCACTGTTTGTAACAGCTGGGGGGCAGGGAGAGAAAGAAGGAAGGGAGGGAGGGAGGGAGGAAGGAAGACAGGTAGGAAAGAAGGGAAGGAGGTGTAATCCAAATGTCCATCAGCAGGTGAATGGAAAAACTGTGGTGTATTCCCACAATGCAATACTGTGTATCAGGAAACACAAATGAACTACAGCAACATATAAATAAAATGGATGGATCTTAGGGATGTGATGGTGAATGAGAAATGCAAGTCCCAGAAGTCCATTTGCAGAATGACACCCTTTTTACTGTGTTCTAAAATAAAAATCAAATGAAAAAAACATATCCAGGAAGTAGGTGTGTGTGTGTGTGTGTGTGTGTGTGAGAGTGTGTGTATGTG